TATTAGTGGTACTGCATTTTAATTTTAGAAAGCGCAAATCTGTTTATTAATTATAAAAATTAGGAAGACCGCTGAAGCGCAAATGAAATATTTAGGTCCGCAGTTAGTGGATTTGCACTTTAGTGGACTGGTGCCCACCACCTCTACTTAGAGAAAGTAAGCACCATGAGTGAAGACTAACTGTACTACAGCCCTATATATAGTCATTGGACCAATAGATGAAATGACTGAGTGGAAATACTCTTTTTACACAGGGCGACAGGTTACAGCCTTTCAACTACAGGTGGCGCTGTGACGTCACACAGCACATTTTGAATGAATAGCAAAATTCAAATGTGGCAGCCATAGTTAAACTCAAAAAGAGCAGCACAAGAAGGTTTTAGGTCAAATATTGTAGATTTAAACAATTTTAGATGAAAATGATAAATTTAGTCAGAAATGGATAGGTATTACCCCTAGGGCACAATTTAGACAGTTCATCTTCCAAAAACTTGATTTTGGGGTAAGTTACTCTAGTAAAACCATTACACTGTATTTTAATCCCAAAATATCCTGGATTGTTTAATAAATTAAATGATTCAATGAATATATAAGTAGTGAGTGGACATAATGTTACACCATTGGAAACACACCACACTTTTCAGTCAGCTTTTTTGTTTTCATTCTCTCAGACTTTTTGACACAGAGCACTAAAGTTTAATAACCATTTTTTCAGGCTTCTGGAAGGCCACCTGTCCCCCGTCATGTGCCAGTCCCCTCCTGGTCTTTGTCAACTCTAAAAGTGGTGATAACCAGGGTGTGAAATTCCTTCGACGCTTCAAGCAGCTCCTGAACCCGGCTCAAGTCTTCGACCTGGTCAATGGTGGCCCACACCTCGGGTGAGACATTCAGATGTCTTCACAGAGCAGGGTATCTTTAGTCACTCAGATGAGATTATTTGACTTTGAGTAGATATTTGATCCTGAAATGATCCGTTGTTGCCAACAAAACGTGACTCTACTGATTTTACTCAGTTATTATAATTCATGCCTCAGACATTTATAAGTTAGCCATGCCTATTCAGTGATTATTTTTATGATGGATGATAAGCACACACTGGTCGGGGTTACACTGACAAATTGTCCATTTTGACAATAATGATTGTTTTGACTTGGTGTCTCTGTCAGTTTGCGCCTGTTTCAGAAGTTTGATAATTTCCGGATCCTTGTTTGTGGCGGCGATGGTAGTGTGGGATGGGTCCTATCTGAGATCGACAAGCTCTGTCTGCACAAACAGGTAAACATATATCTTGAAATGACTGTGGTGTTCTTTTTAGAACCGTGAGATATCCTACTCCAAACAGATTATATTCTCTGTTTAGATATCTGAAGTGTGACCAAGTAAAACACATGAAACAACCTTACTGTCCATCTGAATAGAATCATACAGTCTTGTTAGTAATAGGGATGTCATATTTATTTACAGTGGGTAAAATAAGCATTGAACATGTCAACATTTTTCTCAGTAAATATATTACTAGAGGTGCTAATGACATGAAATTTTCACCAGATGTTGGTAACAACCCAAGTGATCCATACATACAAAGAAATCAAACCATAAATGTCCAGAAATAAAGTTGAGACTTTCAGTCCAGTTTTGTCTTAGTTTCATTTAGAATGAAAACTCTTTTGAAATCACTTTTTATGTGCTAAGTTACCCAACCGTGATA